AGAATCACCTTGTATAAACATTATGATGTTCGTCAACATTGCGCCAACTGCGTCCTGAACCTCAAAATTTTCTCCAATTTCTTCGCTTCTTATGGTGTCTAGTAAAGAGAGCCAGCAACTGCTCGAAGTGCTCTTACTGCTCTTACAATTGTCTTTTATATGCTCACCTTATTTTTTGTTTATAAGTATTTGTTCCTCTATATTACATCTGACATGTACCTCGATAACACCTCTACTCTTGTTGTTTGTGTTCTAACTTCTTCTTTTTGGTCTATGATGACCTGATCTATGTACTGAGATTTCCATATAATACTTCTCTGAATGATTGGTATCAGTATGAGCAACTTCTATTGATTCCTTTTCTTCTTTAAGTGTCATAATTGCATCGATCGTTGATCATAATTAGCTATTAGATTAGCTATCATTTCTTTGTTTACGTTAACGCAAAACAGTTATGAAACACTTCTTCTTCCCATTATTTTCCTCTGTATTATTCGATATAGTAAGGAGTATTTTTCTTACATGTCTTATACAATATACAATATTACTTTCAGCGCTTCAACCAACCGACTTTCTGGTCTATTCTTTTCAACAGGTTGTTTGTGCTTTGACTATTCGACTTCCAGGTATGATATTCTGTTTACTCATTTTAGTTACATGCCGTTTGATTATCTAAGCGTACTTCGCTTCTTGTTCAAAGTATAAATTTGCTATTATCTTTGTGTCTTTGTCATCAACTTCTGAATCTTTCATCATTTTATAGCATCTTATGATGTTGAACTTTATCGCAGGCTTTCTAAAATCAAGATACACGTCATAATTTAAATCGCAACATGTTTGTACTAATACCTATATGCAGAACAGTCCCAATCAAGCTTACTATCAAGCTTTTACAGCACCTCGCAAACCTGTCATCTTCCTTTGGTGATCTTAGCATTTATGTCACCCATGACAATCGTCAATTCCTCTTTGTCAATCTCATTCTATTACTTTTGATAATTATGTTAAACAGGGTGTCTCTATTTCATCTATCAATGTTTATCAGTATGCGTCTTGGTCTTATTTAACCAGCTAGATCCTTCACTTCTTGAGTGAACCAAGACTTTGTGTTATGTCTTGTACTTCCTGAAATGATTCTTCTCCCTAATGCTGTTTCAGTGTCCAATCATCTCTGATATCCTCTAATACTGTCTCTGAAGTAGCGTACAGTTCCTTATCAAAGTTGAGAGTCCCTTATATTCTTAATATAGAATATCTTGAGGTTGTTTATAATCCTTAAGTTCACTTTCGTCGATGTCTTCTTACACAAACACTACACTAGGTGATTTTAGAGTAGCATCAACACCAATCTACTCAACAATTTAATTAATAAATTAAGTATAAAATTACTTTATAAAATGAGTTTATTTCTATCTACTTATAATTTTGATTTTTATCTACCTATAAACCTCTACCAAAGAAACATTCTTTGGTCGGTTCTTCTCAAAAAAAAGTTAATCACAAAGGAGCTCTGGCTGGGCCTGGAAAACAATTTACGAAAAACAAATACGTTTCGTTCTTGGGGTTACAACGCCCCATCGTGATCGGTTCGTGCGATTTGCATAACCTCGGGACTTAGTAATAAGCGGCAGATCGAAAGAGATGCGAATAAAGCCCCCCTTTTTCCGTACAACTTCGTATATAAATAAGGAGATTAACGAAACTTGTTAAGATGCCCGTTATTATTCTCTGTTGACACACAAATTACACGTTGCGCTCGGTCACGCCCTTCTGGCCCCGCGGGGTTTAAGAAATCCAACAAGAAGACCATGAAGGTAACTCGAAGTATCGCCGAGTCCCCTTCTTCTTTCGCTTAAACTCTTTTCAGTCTGTTTTGGTCGCTTGTTACTCAGTCCCGTCTGCTTAACTCCCAACTGATGGACCACACCGATCTAATAATCTTAAAAACAGAGGCGTATTCAACGAAAATTTATTAAAAGAAACTTTTAAATCAAAACTGTACCTAAGTAAATTTGGTTTTTGAATTATTTTGTTTAATTGAAGCTAATTTGGTCTAAAACGTTTTACATTAAAAATTTTCATTTTTACTTGTTGATATTTCTAGTTTCTACAGAAGTATCGTCACCTCTTTAAATCAAATATTGTAACAGTTCGAGAAATGTCAAATACTACTTATTAACATAACTTATGTACGCGTCACTTAACACTTTCGGTTCGGGGTCTCTTAACCGTTTTTCCTCGGCGATAGTCAATATTTAATCGGACAAACGGTGAGACATAATGTATTCTCTTGTTGGAACTGAATACCTAACTTGGTATGTGGTTAACACGTTTTTGAAAAAAAATCACAAGAAAGAACCCGTTCTAAGAAAAGAAATAATTATAAACAAAATCTTATAAAGTTAATTCAAAATTTGAACTAAACATTCAAAGTTAGACATCCTATTTTGCACAGCTGTTATGTTGGTTGCATACCCTGCATTTGAAAATTAAATAATTTTTATTTAATAAACAAATAAAAATTAGAAATTAGTTGTAAAAGCTTAATTATTATTCGTTGTGATTTTTATAACGCATTAATATTTGTTTTAATTCGTTCGTTTGAGGTTATGTTAACTTAACTTAATGCTTCTAAACGTCGAATAATCATTGTGAAACTTAACTTACGCTTATCTGATGCGATTTAGAAGAAATTTGATTCACGAAATGTTATTTTTAACGAAATATTATGATTAAAATTGAAAGATTTTTTTAAACGATTTTGAAGCTGTCACTCGCAAAATCACAACTGTAAACAAAGTGAAATTAGCTTCAAACTGAACTTAGGTGTATTCAATTTTATTATTTGAATTTATTACTAAATATGTAAATATTGAGTGCCTCGTTTTAGTTGTAAAAGAGCTAATTAACGTTGATTTATCAATTAAATTAATGCAAAATGTATAAAAAAGTTAATAAATTTGATTTGCCTAACTTCATTAAGACTTTAAATTGCGATTAAAACCGATAGATGGCGGTACATTTCTTTTTAATAAGATTTTTTAATATTAATTTAGTTATTAAATACATAAGGATTCAATAAAAACCCAAAATTTAATCATTTTTAAATAGAGTTAGTACTCACCGTTAATATGAAACGTTCGTTTGAGGTTATGTTCCCTGCAAACAAAACAATTATTCACTAAATGCTTTTTTATCAACTTGTAGACAAAAAAAAACTGTCGTGATACTTAATTTGCTCTCATCTAATGCGATTTAGAAATAATTTGATTATTGATATCTTACTTTTAAGGAATTATTTATGAATTAAAATTAAAAGATTTTTAAACGATTTTGAAGCTGTCAACCACAAAATGTAAATAAAATGAAGTTGGCTTCAAACTAAAGCCAGGTGTATTAAATTTTATTATTTGAATTTATTACTAAATATGTAAAAATCAATTAAGTGCTTCGTTTTAGTTGTAAATGAGCTAATTAACGTTAATTTATCAATTAAATTAATGCAAAATGTACAAAAAAGTTAATAAATTTGATTTCCCTAACTTCATTAATGACTTTAAATTGCGATTAAAACCGATAGATGGCGGTACATTTCTTTTTAATAACATTTTTTTATAATAATTTTGTTATTAAATACATAAGGATTCAATAAAAACCCAAAATTTAATCATTTTTAAATAGAGTTAGTACTCACCGTTAATTGGAAACGTTCGTTTGAGGTTATGTTCCCTGCAAACAAAACAATTATTTACTAAATGCTTCTTTATCAACTTGTAGACAAAAAAAAAGTCGTAATACTTAATTTACACTCACCTAATACGATTTAGAAATAATTTAATTCTTGATTTGTTACTTTTAAGGAATTATTTATGAATTAAAATTAAAACATTTTCAAGCAATTTTGAAGCTGACAACCACAAAATGTAAATAAAATGAAGTTAGTTCCAAACTACACTCAGGTGTATTAAATTTTATTATTTAATTTATTACTAAATATGTAAAAATCAATTAAGAGCCTCGTTTTAGTTGTAAATGAGCTAATTAACGTTAATTTATCAATTAAATTAATGCAAAATGTATAAAAAAGTTAATAAATTTGATTATCCTTACTTCATTAATGACTTTAAATTGCGATTAAAACCGATAGATGGCGGTACATTTATTTTTAATAACATTTTTTAATATTAATTTAGTTATTAAATACATAAGGATTCAATAAAAACCCAAAATTTAATCATTTTTAAATAGAGTTAGTACTCACCGTTAATATTCCGTTAATTGGAAACGTTCGTTTGAGGTTGTTATCTGTAAACAAAACAATTATTTACTGATTTATTTCAATTTCTCGGCATAAATGAATTGTTGTAATACTTAATTTAAACTCACGTGATGTGATTTAGAATAAAATTGATTCATGAAATGTTAGCTTTAAGGAAATATTAATGATTAAAACCGAAAAACTTTTTGAACGATTTTCTAGCTGTCAAACTACAAAAACACAAATTGTAAATAAAGTGAAATTAGTTTCAAACTATACTTAAATTTAATTATTTCAACTTATTTTCAAGTACATAAAATTCATTTACGAATCTCGTTTTAATTATAAGTGAGCTAATTAGCGTTAATTTACCAAATAAATTAAAGCAAAATGTAAAAAAAAGTTAATAAATTTGATTTGCCTAACTTCATTAATGATTTCAAACTACGATTAAAATCGATAGATGGCGACACATTTCTGGTTAATTGAACGAAAATATTTTAATGTAGACAACCAATTTAGCATAATTCTTACATTAATTGCATAAATCTTAATATATTCTCATAAAATACAAAAAACCACCTTATTCGGATACCAATCAAAACAAATAATCATTTACATAACGAAATTAGTAATTAATTTCAGCGATTTCCTCTTTTAATTCATAAAAATCTTCCTAAAAAAATTTTTTTTAATGAAAAACTTGCTTTAAAAATAATGCCCTAGTTTTCTTTTTTGATCTAAAAGCTTCAGTTACATCATAAAAGTCTGAAACCGACGCCAACGAGTCGGAATCGATACGAAATTACACTTCGAACGTCTAAATAGTACGGAACACGCAAACTTCCTACCGTTTTGAAGGTCTCTGTTGTGCGCACCCAAAGCGGCCTTTTCACTTTACCGTGCCGGTGGTCAGTTCTTTTCCGTCGCGATCACAATCCGCAACTAAAACATCCAATTTATCAACAATAAAAAGATTTATTCGACTTCCCGTTACAAATTAAAGAGGAGAAATCAACTTTTTTTTTTTGGAATAAAAATAAATAAAGAAAAATGTTCGGTGAGTTTCCCTAGATTGTTATTACGTTTCTCTAAAAATAGTTTTAAATGCGATGTGCTTCGAAGGTCGACATTCCTGTGAATTTGAAATTTACGCAACAAACACAACACAGAGTTTTTTCATATTGCGCAGTATTTTCATAAATATAATTTACAAAAAGGAATGAAATTAATAATCGATTCGATTCGATTTCTTCAACTTTGTGAATAATTAAAATGTTAACCTTGACTTTGTACGCTTTGAAAACAAAAAGATAAAAACGTTACGAAGGAATTACATCATCAATTTGTTTTCTCTTAAAATATTAATAAATAAATAACCATTTCTATTTAATTGACCCCCTGGCATTTAAGAATCTATTTTGAAACCGATTTTAAACGTGATGCGACATCTATAAATAAATAAATAAATAAAATACGGACCTTCTTTGTGGTGAATCATGTTAATTATAAAATAGCTGCTCTAAAATGGAATGAATGATGAATTATTACAGCATTTCTATATTTAGAGATGATATATACTTTAATATTAAATTTGTTATGTTATATACTTTACTTTCACTGGTACGATTTAGAAAAAATTTGATTCTTGAAATATTTATGGTTAAATTTGACAGATTTTTAAACAATTTTGAAGCTGTCAACCTAAAAATTACAAATTGTAAATAAAGTGAAGTTAGCTTCAAACCAAGGATTAACGTCATTGACAAACAGCGATTAAAATCAATAGACTTTGTTATTAAATGCATAGATTCAATAATAACCCAAATATTAACAATGTTTAAATAAATTCCTCTTAATTTAATACTCACCGTTAATATTCCGTTAATTCGAAAGGTTTGAGGTTATGTTCTAACACTTTTTTGCAAACTCTATGCAAAAAAAAACTGTTGTGGTACTTGATTTACTCTCATCTGATGTGAAATAGAAATTTGATTATCAAAAATATTTAAGCGAAATGTTTATGATTAAAATTAAAAGATTTTCTTAAACAATTTTGAAGCTGTACAAACTGTAAATAACGTGAAATTAGCATCAAATTATACTCGATGTGTTCAATCTTATAATTTGAATTTATTTCTAAATATATAAAATTCATTTAAATACCTCGTTTTAGTTGTTAATGAGCTAATTATCGTTGATTCACCAAATAAATCAATAAACAATTAATAAAATTAATTTGCTTAACTTCTTTATCGATTTCAAACTGCGTTTAAAATCAATAGATGGCGACACATATCTTTTTAATAAGGTTTGCTTTTAATCTTAACTTAATTATTAAGTGCATAGATTCAACAATAATCCAAATATTAACAATGTTTAAATAAATTTCTCTTAATTTAACACTCACCGTTAATATTCCGATATGTTTGAGGTTCTCTTCTCCAAAAATGAAACACTTTTTTTCAAACACTATGCAGAAAAAACTTGTTGTGGTACTTGATTTACTTTCATTTGATGCGATATAGAAATTTGATTCTTGAAATGTTTAAGCGAATTGTTTGTGATTGAAATTAAAAGATGTTCTTAAACAATTTTGAAGCTGTCAATCGTAAACTGTAAATAACGTGAAATTAGCTTCAAACTGTACTCGATGTATTTAATCTTACAATTTGTATAATTTATTTCTATATAAAATTCATTTAAATACCTAGTTTTAGTTGTTAATGAGCTAATTATCGTTGATTCACCAAATAAATTAATAAAAAAGTTAATTAAATTGATTTCATAACGATTTCAAACTGCGATTAAAATCAATAGATGGCGACACATGTCTTTTTAATAAGGTTCTTTTTTAATCTTAATTATGTTATTAAATACATAAAGATTCAATAAAATCAACAATCTTTAAATAAATTACTTACCCCACTAATATTCCGTTAATAGGAAATGTTCATTTGAGGTTATGTTGCCAAAAATCGAAACGATCATTCACTAACTTTTTTTTCAATTTGTAGATATAAACAAATTATCGTGATACTTAATTTAATCCCATCTGATGCGATTTAGACGAAACTTGATTTATTTTAAACGATATAATTATAATTAAAGTTAAAAAATGTTTTAAACAATTTGGAACTGTCAACCACAAAATCACTAACTGTCAATAAAGTGAAATTAGCTGTCAAGTAATTTGATTATCGAAATATTATTTTTAATTTTAAATAATTTATGATGAATTGATTACTCCAGCACATCTATATTAATAGATAATAAATAAATTAATATCAAATTTGTTTCAGCCGCATTTAGAAATTTCGGTGCTAGAATAGCATCGATTTTTGAAAAGAAAAAGAAGGATGTCTCTGAAGCGGTCGAATCAACAGAACAACAAATTGGTGAAGCAGTGGATGAGACTAAAAATGATGCATCTCAAGCTCTAAAACAAACAGGTAAAAATAATTAAAAAAATTAAAAAAAATATATGCAACCAATATGACAATTATGCAAAATTGGTTGCCTATATTATTATTATTTTTTTTTCTTTTAAATTTCAGTTGAAGAAACTAAAACATCAACTGTGCAAGCGATTGATGCTGAATTAAATAAGGCTGAAAAAACCCTGGATAATAAAATAAAACAAGCAGCGACTTCTGTTGATCAAAAGATTCAAGAAACTAACCGCTTTGCTGAAGAGAAAAAGAACGAATTAGCCACAGGGATTAAAAACACTGAAAATGCCTTGAATGAGAAGGTTCAAAACGTTGCAGGGGCTGTAAATCAAGGAATTTTAAGCGCTAATCAATACGCGGAAGACAAAAAACAACAATTAGCAACTGGGGTTAATGAAAAAGTTCAAAACGTTGCAGGAGCTGTCAATCAAGGGATTTTAAACGCTAATCAATATGCTGAAGATAAAAAGCAACAATTAGCAGAAGGAATTAAAAGTACTGAGAATGTGATTAATCAAAAAATCGTTGATGCTAACCAATACGCTGCAGATAAAAAGCAACAACTTGCAGATGGAGTTAAAAGTACTGAAAATGCAATTAATCAAAAAATTCTTGATGCTAACCAATACGCTGCAGATAAAAAGCAACAACTTGCAGATGGAGTTAAAAGCACCGAAAACGCTTTAAATGAAAAGGTTCAAAATGTAGCAGGGGCAGTAAATCAAGGAATTTTAAACGCGAATCAATTCGCTGAAAGTAAAAAGCAACAATTAGCTGAAGGAATTAAAAACACTGAAAACGCTTTAAATCAAACAGCACAAAACACAGCTGGAGCTATAAATCAAAAGATTTTGGACGCTAACCAATACACTGAAGATAAAAAGCAACAATTTGCAACTGGAATTAAAAATACTGAAGCTGCATTAAACGAAAAAGCTTGTGAAGTTCAAAACACCTTGGGTAACTTAAAAGATGGGGCTGGAAATGTATTGGGGAAAGGATTGGCAAGTACCGGGGTGTTTTTGGATAACACAAAGAGTCATTTAGCGCAAGGTCTCCATGAAGTTGAAAACGAAACTGAAAAAGGAATAAGGGAAACTGAAGATATGACGAACGCGCTTCTTTCGAAATCTAAAGGTTTTCTTGCTACGAAATGAAATTAAATAAATGTGCAATTAAAAAGATAGGTTTAAGATAAAAAAAACGTCCAGCGCACTAACATTTATGTAAAATTTTTAAATATTTATATTTACGTTTCGTTTTATATTCTTTTTATTAATCATTATTATTGAAATGACCAACTTAAAGCTTTCGTTTAGGTTAGAAAATCTAAAAAAAACAACAAAAAATGTAAATAAATAAATAAATGCTTTAACCAATAAAAATTAGATCACCTCAATACTTTTTATTAACATTTTACTCCATAAAATAAAGAATTACACTTAAATTATTAGCATTTAAGATGTGGCATTACTTCATTACCGATTTCAAACTGAGATTAAAATAGATAGATGGCGACACATTCTTTTTTTAATCTTAACTTTGTTATTAAACGCATAGATTCAATAATAACCCAAATATTAACAATGTTTAAAAAAATGTCTCTTAATTTAACACTCACCGTTAATATCCCATTAATTCGAAATGTTTGAGGTTATGTTTTCCGAAAATGAAACACTTTTTTTCCAACTTTATGCAGAAAAAACTTATTGTGATTAACTCTCATTTAATGCGATATAGAAATTTGATTCTCGAAATGTTTATAATTAAAATTAAAAGATTTTTTTAAACAAATTTGAAAATGTCAATCACTAACTGTAAATAACGTGAAATTAGCTTCAAACTATTCTGGATGAATTAAATCTTATGATTTGAAATTACTTCTAAATATATCAAATTCATTTAAATACTTTGTTTTAATTGTTAATGAACTAATTATCGTTAATTCACCAAATAAATTAATAAAATTGATTCATTACGATTTCAAACTGCGATTAAAATCAATAGATGGCGACACATGTCTTTTTAATAAGGTTCTTTTTTAATGTTAATTATGTTATTAAATACATAAAGATTCAATACAAATCAACAATATTTAAATAAATTTCTTACCCCTTAAAATAGAGAATTACACTTAAATTATTAACTTGAAATAAAACATTTAAGATGTGGCGACTTGTTTTAACGGTCCCTCCAAATACAAAGCCAAAGCGTTCGCTTTTTGCTTCAATATCCCAAATCCAACGTTACTTTTCGCGTATAAACACAACAAGACGTTCCCCACTTGTGTTATTGCGATTTTACCTTCCATACATTCCATCAAAATCATTTGGGGGTGATCATCTCGAAATACATTTTGACAATTTCTATCGTAAGCCCTCCAAATGTTGCTAGCTATAGCGGCGGTGACGCGAGCGTCTTTATCGCCGTAACCGCTATAAGCCAAAAGAGCACCTTCCGGATTTAATAACCTAATATTACAACAATAAACAATAAAACACAAATTTTTCTTTGATTTAAACACTTACAAAGTATTTTCAATCCCACCGGTATTCGCTTGACTTAAAACTTGCGTTAACGCTTTCGGTTTTAACATGTTTTTAAATGAAATTATAATTATGATGTAAAATGAGGTTAAGTTTCTTGACAGGAAATTTGACAAATGTCAAATTAAGGTTAATTGAGGTTATGTTATTAAAGCTAAGCGTCTCAAAAGAAATTTTTTGATTCTTTCGCAACTATGGACTCAATTCCGAAAGATTTACGTGGATTAAGAGCCTGTTTAGTGTGCTCGTTAATAAAGGTATTGTTATTTGTTATTAATTTAAATAAAATCATTTTAATGAACATAACCTAACTTTAATTTTCTAGACGTTCGAACAATTCGAATACGATGGTTGTGATAATTGCGACGAATTTTTACGGATGAAAAATAATAGGGATAACGTTTATGATTGTACAAGCTCGAATTTCGATGGGTAATCATTGTAATCTTGGTTTTATTAATTATATTTTTATTAATTTCGTTTTAGGATGATAGCTGTGATGAGTCCTGAGGATAGTTGGGTGTGTAAATGGCAAAGAATAAGTAAGTTGGTTTTATTTATAGTTCTAATAATTAAAGTATGAATGTGTGGTGCTTTTTAGATCAATTCTGTAAGGGGATTTATGCGATATCTGTCGCTGGAAGATTACCTGTTAGTATTGTACGAGAAATGAAGAGTAGAGGGATTATTTATCGTCCACGGGATACGAGTCAACGATAATTTATTACTTTTTATGTTAATAATTGAATTTTAATGAATAATAATAAATAATTATACAGGTGTGCCATATCTTTTGCATCAGAGCATGAAAATTTTTCGCAATATTTATAAGCCGCATGGGAACTGTTTAAAGTCGTCCAATATCAATTAGTAAATGTTTCTTTAAGACATTTATTCCATATTGTGTTGAAAACTTATAAATTTTGTTATAAACAGTTTTTAAAATATAATAAGTTTATGGCCACCTAGTGTAATACAATTAAAACTTAAAATGTCGATAAAGCAGATTTCGTTTTTAATCGGTATACGTCAAATAAACGTCACCCCCACTGCCAATAAAACGGTCGCCCGATGTGTGATATCGTTTCAATTTATAAATCTCCGTACGTGGGTTTTTTCTATTTTATTTAAAAACCTACGCTTAAACGGGTCGAATAGAGTGTAGTTATCGTACAAAACGTTTTCGCGAAAATGTCTTCGATAGAATCAAACGACAAGAAGAGCAGAGAAGGGCCAAATAACGATTCTAAAACGGAAAGGAATCGAGTGGAAAATATCGATTTTAAGGCGAGCGCCAAAGAAGAGATTATAGTTCGAAGCGTCATTCCGAAAAGACGGTAAATATCATTTAAAAAAAAATTTTTTTTATTTCAAAATGAGAACTAACGAGGTTAAGGATAAATATAGTAAATACACGTTTCCAGTTGGCAATTTACTATGTATCATTTAATTATAAAGTTGAATACTTTAATTAGTGTTTAATCAATTTTTTTATGAGATAAATAAAAAAATTTATTAATAATTTTTTTTTATTTTAGTCAAGATTTATTGAAATGGAACGGATGGGGCTATAAGGACTCTAAATTTGTCGTTAAAGATGATGTTTTACATTTTACTGGCGATCGGTTAGTATTCAAACAAATAAAATTCATTAATTATTTGCATTTACATGGTTCCATTAAAATAACTTTGTTTACATAAGTTAAAAAAACGTGTAAAAAGCTTTTAGTAACATTATGTTATATCTTTTAAAAGTTGTGAAATTTTTTTTTATTTTTCTTTAACATATTACTGCTATCTATACACTTATAACAACAATAACCACTATGTTTATTGATGTATATACAGACAAATATAATAACAGTAAACCTCTCAATACTAACTATATATTTATTATAAATCGTTTTAAAGAGAATACTTTAAGCTTTAATTTAAAGTATATATCATTTTATAACTCCCATAATTAAGGCAGATATGATTTTTTGAAATTGAGCTAATCAAAATTAACTTAACCTCTTTATGCAACATTTTCTTAAAATCACCGTATCTCAAATTTTTTTATATCTAACTATATATTTATTATAAATCGTTTTAAAGAGAATACTTTAAGCTTTAATTTAAAGTATATATCATTTTATAACTCCCATAATTAAGGCAGATATGATTTTTTGAAATTGAGCTAATCAAAATTCAACTTAACCTCTTTATGCAACATTTTCTTAAAATCACCGTATCTCCAAATTTTTTTTATCTAACTATTTATTTATTATAAATCGGTTTAAAGAGAATACTTTAAGCTTTAATTTAAAGTATATATCATTTTATAACTCCCATAATTAAGGCAGATATGTTTTTTTGAAATTGACTCAATTAAAATTGATTTAACTTAACCTCTTTCTGCAACATTTTCTTAAAATCGCCGTATCTCAAAATTTTTTTATCTAACTATTTATTTATTATAAATCGTTTTAAAGAGAATACTTTAAGCTTTAATTTAAAGTATATATCATTTTATAACTCCCACAATTAAGGCAGATATGATTTTTTGAAATTGAGCT